ATTATTAAAATGAAAAGCATATTTAGAAACTGATGTGCATTACCTTTATATAAAAAATAGTTGATCTTAACATGTGCTGCATTTTTGCCGGCATTGTACGCGTTGTTAGACGCAATAATATCTTTAAACACTTAACAATTTTCAGACTTGAACTGGCATGTCAGCAATCTAGAAACTGAATGACGCTTTGCAGCAAAATCAGTACGCGGGTCAAAGGAAAATACAAAAAAATGTTCAGTAAAACCAGAATATCGGTAAATTTTTGGGACCTTTGCTTTACTATCTTCCTATCAACTTCCAGAAGTGAATTGGGAGATAGTTTTTTTTGTATATTTGTTGTTGTAAAATGTGTGCTATCGTCTTTCTATCTTCCAGAAGTGACTCAGAAGTGTCTTCTTCGGGATAGATGTGTATTTTGTTTTTGTAAAATGTGTTCTATCGTCTTTCTATCTTCCAGAAGTGACTTATAAGTGACTTCTAGGCGATAAAAAACTCTTCTTTTTTTTCCAAAAATTTCTATCGTCTCTCTATCTTCCAGAAGTGACTCAGAAGTGTCTTCTTCGGGATAGATGTGTATTTTGTTTTTGTAAAATGTGTTCTATCGTCTTTCTATCTTCCAGAAGTGACTTATAAGTGACTTCTAGGCGATAAAAAACTCTTCTTTTTTTTCCAAAAATTTCTATCGTCTTTCTATCTTCCAGAAGTGTCTAAGAAGTAACTTCTAGGCGATAGATGTGTATTTTGTTTTTGTAAAATGTGTTCTATCGTCTTTCTATCTTCCAGAAGTGACTAAGAAGTGTCTTCTAGACGATAGGGGATAAATTTATCTTCCAAAGGCTTGCAGGGTTTTGGCAAAAGCAGAACTACGGGGGTGTATTGATGTGGCTTGCGATTTACTAATGAAAGAGGACAATTTAGAGACTTCTGCAGAGATTATGTTATGTAACAACTTACGCAATGCTATATTCTGGGTTGGCCAAAATAAAAATGTAGATTCAAACTACACATCCGAGATTAGCTAGATGTACTCTATGGCTTTGGAAATCTGGCTGTCTTGGGATCGAATTAACAGGTTAGAATGTAATTCTTTTTTTGCTCAATTTCGCAAAATATTTACCGGGTGGATTAGATAAGCAACAGAATAATTTATATAAAGCCGCCAAAGTCACTGATAAACGACTGGTTCTTTGATGCCGATGGATTTCGGTTGCACTGGCTTAAAAACTTTCCACGCTTCTTTTGGTATGCACTGTATATCTATTTCTAGACACGATAAGATAAGAGCTTGTACTGCTTATGAGCACGACTTGAAACAGAAAGACAGTAAGCTGGGGTTTCGAGCTTTATCTCGACTCTCAAATTGCTGTTGGGATGCTTTTTGAAAAACCATTATTTGCCATTCCCAGGAGGGGTTTTCGAAATATCTGGTAATATTGAAGCGGGCTTTATTTAATATTGAAAATGGTAAAGTCGGTGTAATCTAACAACCTTTTTCTTTCCAAAAAAATTGTATGGGAATGAAAACTACTGAGGGGATGGGGGAGAGCATATAAGGCAAAGTGTCTGATTGCATTCAACTTGGTGAATGCCAGCATGATCCTTATCACTGCTCTCCTCAAGCCGACGCACTACCTCCACGTGGTTCTCCCTGGATTGCCATTCAACATCCGTTGAGTGGCAAACTAAAGCGCGCGACGAGAGTCCTAGCTCTTCAAGCTAGGTTGTGGCGTAGGACTTGAAATCCACCCATGGAAAAACCAAAATTCAATGAAAGAAGCAGAAGAAGCCTCGGAACGGGACCGATTTAACGTTGACGACCATGGCAAACGAAAAAGGACAATGATTTGAGAGTATGCACGTGGAATGTACGAACACTGTACAGACCAGGTGCTGCTCAACAACTAGCAGATACCCTCAAAAAATGTAGGGCTGATATCGCTCCTATACAGGAAATGCGATGGATAGGGCAAGGTTGCATTAAGAAGAAGAACTGCGAAATTTACTACAGCTGCCATTCAGAAAGGCATGAATTTGGCTGTGGCTTCGTTGTTGGCGCCAGACTGCGGCGCCGAGTCTCGCACTTTCTGCCAATAAACGAGAGACTTGCAACGATCCGAATTACTGCCAAATTCTTCAACATCAGCCTGATATGCGCGCACGCTCCAACCGAAGAAAAAGACGATATAACCAAGGATACTTTCTATGCGGAGCTCGACCGAGCTTACGGCCGCTGCCCTTCTCATGACATTAAAATCCTCCTTGGGGACTTTAAGGCCAAGGTAGGGCGAGAAGACATCTTTGGTACCACCGTCGGGCGATTTAGTCTACATGAGACCACCTTGAGCAATGGTATCAGATTAATAGGCTTTGCTGCAGCGCATAATATGGTAGTTCGTAGTACTGGGTTCCGTCATTTGGACATACAGAAGGCGTCGTGGCTCTCTCTCGATCGACTGACCAGAAATCAGATCGATCATGTTGTGATCGATGCAAGGCATGCATCTAGCGTACTCGACGTGCGATCCTGTCGGGGTCCCAACATCGACTCCGACCAGTCCGAGGACTGTTGAGAAGGCTGGACATGGGAAAGCTGCAAGCACAACAGACAAGGGATGCATTCTTCACTCAAGTCTCTGGCCTATTTAGCCGAACAACTCCAACATCTGAAGACATCAGCGATCAGTGGGCGCTCATATCCCACTCCCTGCGAACTTCCGCAGAAGAAGTCATTGGATTCCAGCGCCCCCCAACAAGGAATCCATGGTATGACCAGGAGTGTCGGGACGCAACAGCTGCAAAATACGCCGCCTACCGAAGAACACTGCAAGCTGGGGCTACACTGGCTGTTGTTGAGGTCTACAGGTTAAGGAGAAGGGATGCCTTTTCAGACGCAAGAAAAGAGAACAGGAAAGGCGAGAGTGTGAAAGCATAGAGAGCAGCAGATGCCGAAATGAAGCTCGTAACTTCTATCAGAGGGTTAAGCGTCTGACCCAAGGTTGTAAGACTGGAGGAGTTGCATGCAAGGACAATGACGGAAACCTAGTCACAGATGCAGAGATTGTGCTGAAGCTATGGAGGGATCACTTCTCAAGCCTGTTAGCTGGCTCTGGCACAGGCTATGAAGATTATGATCCACAAACCCCAATCTATGGTACTGATATAGATTTCCCGACCCCAAGCCATGCCGAAGTCAAGGATGCAATCCAACGACTCAAAAACAATAAATTTGCAGGTGCTGATGGCCTGCTGGCTGAATTGTTTAAGACAGCTGGTGATATGTTGGTAGGGAGCATGCACCAACTAATCAGCAAGATATGGCGTACGGAGAGCATGCCCGAAGATTGGAACCTCAGCATGATCTGTCCTGTCCTGAAGAAGGGTGATGCCACATTGCGCACCAATTACCGTGGCATTAGTCTTCTTCCAGTCGCATACAAGGTTCTTTCGAGCGTACTGTGTGAAAACCTGAAACCCCATGCCGAAGCACTGATTGGACCTTATCAGTGCGGGTTCAGGCCTGGCAAATCTACTTTTGACCAGATTTTCACGTTGCGCCAAATCCTGGAGAAGTCCTATGAGAACCAGATCGACACCCATCATCTATTCGTCGATTAAAAGGCTGCATTCGATAGTCCCCGGCCAGATCGCCTATATGCCGCCATGTCTGAGCTTGGTATACCAGCAAAGCTGATACGGCTTTGCAGGATGACATTGAGCAACACCATCAGCTCTATCAAGGTAGGAAACGACCAATCCGAAACCTTTAGTACCAAGTGTGGTCTCAAACAAGGTGCCTCGCTATCCTGCATGCTCTTCAACATTCTAATGGAGAGTATTGTAAGAAAGGCTGGTGTGCATCGGACGGGCCCGGTTCTGACAAACAGGTGTGTCCAACTCCTTGGTTACGCTGATGATATTGATATCATTGGCCGAACCAAGCTTGGTGTTATAACAGCCTTTGGGGCTATTAAAAAAGAGTCGGCTAAAGTAGGACTAGCAGTGAACATGGACAAGACAAAGTTTATGGTGTGCTCAAGCAGAGAATCGCGGCGTCTTGATTCTCAGCTGACTGCAGACAGCTATAGCTTTGAGTCCATAAAGGAATTCATCTACCTTGGCACTGCTATAACTAGCACAAACAATGTCAGCCTAGAGATTAAGCGGAGAGTCACACTTGCCAACAGGTGTTACTTTGGGCTCAGTAGGCATTTCAACAGTAGAGCTCTCTCTCGACAGGCAAAAATAACACTCTACAAGACGCTCATTCTTCCAGTACTCTTATATGGTGCGGAGTGCTGGACAGTGGTGCAATCCGATACAGCCGCTCTTGGAGTGTTCGAGAGAAAGATTCTCCGCAAGATCTTTTGTCCGATTTGCGTTGGCGATGCCTATCGCATTAGATGGAACCACGAGCTGTAGTCAATCGAGTTAAAATTCACAGACTCCGCTGGCTGGGTCACATCGCCCGTATGGAAGAAGACGCTCCGGCCCGTAAGGTGTTTGATGCGGTAATTGTCGGGAAACGGAGGAGAGGACGACCCCGGATGCGTTGGCAAGACCAGGTGATGCCCTGTCTACATCCGGTGCTGCCAACTAGAGAAGGCGCGCCCAGGACAGGGATGCGTGGAGGCAAATCGTGCAACAGGCTGTGACCCGTCAAGGGTTGTGATGGCCAATTATTATTATTTTTAAATTTAATGCTAGTTTAATCTGTAAATAATGTAATGTAAATGTAAATTATAAATTTTTATAGCTTAAGGCCTAGTTGCTATAGCTTAAGTATGGGTTAGAGGTAATTTGCAATTTCTCCCATAACCCGAAAATAAATAAATAAATAACAAAAATTTAGCTTTCACCGATTTTTGTCTTCGCCACATGCGATAACCAAAAAAGTTGCTAGGTGTCCTATCCACTGTCTATGAACTGTATATCAAGTAATAGATAAAAGCTATAAACCTACCACTTTGTTTATTACATTTTTGTAACGTTTATTTTTAAAGGAATCAGCGAATCAGATGAACTTGGCCCAGAGTTTTTGGCGAAGCTGAGCAACATTACGGTACCCATAGGACGTGACGTATCATTTACATGCGTTGTCGACAACTTAGGTCAATACCGTGTAAGTAAAATTACCTTTAACAAGTGTTTTTACTCTTAAAAATCTTATCGGGTTTGAAGTCGAAAATTATATTTGACTGAAAGATATGATGCAAAAATGTATCAAAACCGGTACAAAAATCTACCTACAGCACAAAAATAATCACCAGTTTAGGTATAAGTAATTCTTTTTAAAGCAAAATTATGCAATTTGAATTTGTTAGTAATAAATAGGAAAACAAAAATTTATTTTAAATTTTTACTTTTAAGTTTTATTGGTGATAAACTTTGTTCTTTGTTCACAAATATTTTTTTATGTGAGCTGCTAGGGACACAAAAAAAAATATTTCACCGTTCTCATTTCGAAATCTTTTTAATATATTATTAGGCAGGCTACGGTTTTCACTTTCACAAGATTCTCTCGTTTTCGTTTTCGAGAACGAGAATTGGTGCTCCCGTTTTCACTTTCACAAGACTTTTTCGTTTTCAAAAATGGGCAAGTTTTTTTTGTCGAAATGAAAAGTAAATGCCTTTTTCTACATTAAATCGGTTCTTAATTGCAAAAGGAAAAAAATAGTTGACTCCTTGGTCTATTGATGTTCATTTCCCACCATCATAAGGTCAATCTAATTCGTATTTACTTTTTAAATAATTATTTTCTGACCCCATCTTTATTTCATACATAAAATATTTGCCGTCGGCAACAACAACTTTCGTTTTGCTAAGGGGCCGATAAATCTATTGCCAGAAGTTATCGTCAATGCTACCGTACTTGTAGTGGAACAAAGCAACCACTTAAAAATTCTGATAAAATGAAAACGAAGCAAAAATATTTGTAAAGAAAAGTTAAATAAGCTTTTATAAATAAATATTATTAATTTCAGTTGTTTGAACAGTGAGAAACGATGAAAAAATGAACCGTTCCGATAACGGAACGATGACGAAAAGTTTGTGAAAACTGGAGAACCTAAAACGAAAACGTACGTTTTCGCCCAAAAACGAAAACGAGAAAAAAAAGTGAAAGCGGAGCCTGCCTAATAGATTTTTGACGAACGAATGAGTCTAGATAATCGGATGTTCGGATAATCGAGGTTCGGATAATCGGGATTCTACTGTATATACTTTTCAACATATTATTTTTGATCATCCGTTAGGAAATTTTCGTCCTTACTAATAGATCGGCAATATTCTTAAAGTGGTTTCCACTGAAGTATAATCCTAGCGATAACCATAACTGTAAAATATTAGAACGACCGTAATAATGAACTACGCCTTGGCATCTTAAGTTTTTTGTCCATGTAACTTGGCGAGCTAGTAAAGGTAGACGGTAAATGTGTCCAAACTACAATTACACTGTCTTACAAAGATTTTGCAACGGAGACGAAAGACTACAAGACATAAAAAAAAAACTTAGCCGTAGAAATTCGCAGTAGATGCATTTCTGTTTTTTCACAAAATACCGAAAAATTACTCGGACTTTCTTACATTTAAACTGAAGTACTAGCTACAATTTTTATTCAAGAACTATCGCGAATTTTGAATTTTCGAGGGTTACCTCGTATCGAATTTCCATTTTTTTGTGGCGTTATGTTGGTACTCATGTCGGCCATTTTGAATGTTCACTTAATTGTTGACAGCTGCTTTGCTTGCACGTGTTTTGGAACGTCTTCGATTTGTACCTATTCAAAAAAATGGATCAAAGAACCTGTACCAAATTTTGTGTGAAAAACAAAATTAAGTGCTTGGATGCATTCCGAATGTTGACTGTGGCATACGGAAAAGCTACCTTGGACCGAAGCAACGTTTATCGGTCATACAAAATGTTCTCAGAAGGCCGGGAAGATGTGAACGACGAAGAGCGTGCCGGACGCCCGAGCACTTCAATAACAGTCGAATGTGAAAGTTTTGCTGACAGTTTTCTTCGATTGCAGGGGCGTGGTGCATCATGAGTTCTTGCCACGGAGAAGATCGGTCAGTAAGGAATATTACCTGAATTTGCGCGAAGCAATCCGCTAGAAACGCCCGGATTTGTGGAAGAACAAAAATTGGCTTTTGCACCACGATAACGCCCCTGCTCACACATCGTTGCTTGTGCGCGACTTTTTGGGCAAAAATAACACACTAATGATGCCGCAGCCACAGTATTCCGCAGATCTGCCCCCCTGTGACTTTTTTTTGTTTCATAAACTGAAGAGGCCCATGAAAGGACGACGTTACGCTACGCTTGACGAGATAAAAACGGCATCGAAGGAAAAGCTGAACAAGATAAAAGAAAATTATTTTTTGAAGTGCTTCGAAGATTAGAAAAACCGTTGGCATAAGTACATAATATCTCATGGGGATTTCTTTGGAGGCGACAAAATAGATATTCATGAATAAATAAATAATTTTTGAAAAAACACAAAATTCGCGAAACTTTTTGAACACACCTCGTATAAGCTCGATCCACTGTAAGCGAGATCTCTTTTCATTGCTATTGCTGACACCACGAGTATTGCGGGTATTGAATTTTTCCCCTAATTGCCTAATTGTCCAGTGGACAAATCTAAAGACATCCACGTCAAGAGCAAATTTTAGAAACCCCTGGTTTGGTGCAGGAGGCACCCGAGGTGTTGCCGAAAACCTTGCTAGAGATTTTCTCAAAATTTTTTTCATATTCACAGATCTCACCTCCACCAATAATGCCTCGAGATAGTGAGCACATGGTACAGCTCCAAGTCGGCTATTGGTGAGATCCATATGAGTGAGCAACACACCATTATATTTCAGGTTAAAGGCCCCAGCGAGTGTCCACCGAAAACAAAAATAAAACAACCAAAAAGTTAATGCTCAAAAACCAGAGAGAGAGAGTAAATGTTATAAGTTCCCAGATAAAACGAAAAATATTGCATATTTAAATTGATCTAACTACCAAAAAAAACTGAAAGTTATCAAAAAAAAAAAAAAAAAAAATCAAGGAACTACAAAGTTAATAAAGTAAAAACAAATTGTTAAAAACCAATTGATCTGAAAGTGTGTGATATAAAAGTTTCATTAAAATCATAAAAAAAAATCTAAAAACAAGAAAAACAAACAAACGCATATACCCAAATGCTTAGACCCAATCAGTAGGTACAATGCCATCTGTACACACAACAACTTAACAGGAAATATAAGAGACTTATTAACCGGTATGACTCAGGATCAACCTCTGGATTACCGCTCATCAGAATCGAAGAATCGAACACTAGGATCATACCATTAAAAATTAATGCTATATCTGTATGTTTTCATTCCGTATGTGCCATGGTGCACCAGTTATAGTTTTCAGTATCTTTGATTGAGTTTTTTTGATTTCTTCTAGGTTATTTTATTTGTGTTCTCTTGGCTTGTTCTTGTGTCTTCTCCAAGTAAGCCGTTTATCAAGGTGGACTCCAAGATACGTTACTTCCGTTGTGTCGGGTCATCCAGCCGCATGATAGCTCTTAGCTTATCTACATAATTACCATCGCTCTCTCTCTCTCTCTCTTTATCTTTCTATTTGCTCTCTTTCTTTCTTTGTTGGGTTCTACTTTGGGTCTGAAATTGTCTGATCCGTTTCTAATTCTTTCTCTTCTTTTCGATCCCGCGGGACATTGTTAATCGCTTCTGCTAAAATAAATTCGCTGCCTTTGCAGAAATCGAACTCTAAATTTTCGTGTTCTTATTTAAATAGCTAATAAAAAAAGCTTATTAGGTCAACATTTGGTGACCCCGACGTGATTCGTGCTTAACAAAATACCCAGTGAAAGTCACAAAAAATTCAATTTATTTTACCAGCTGCATATCTCTTTTTATTGGTGTTGCAGCTTCATTGTGCGTTGGCCGGCTATAAACAATACAAATTTGTATAAGTTGATTTGTGCAAATAATATTACACAAGCTTGTACATAAGGCGGTACATAGACCTGTAGCGAAACGTTTTCGATATTCCTCTTTGCTCTCATCTTCCCGCTAAGCCGAATTTTGCCTACCGAGTCTGCTGCATTTTTTGTTGTTGTTGTTGCTGCTTAATATGTCTCTAGAAAATTCGGTAAGCGTCACCGGCAATGGCAATTCAAACAGGGTGATATTTCTGAAGCGCAAGGCAAATTCACTATTTAATAGAGTGGAGCGTTTAATGAAATCTCTTTCAAGTTAAAAGGTTCTCAGCGAGCTCGAGGAATTGGATTTCGAGGAAGTTGGATTTGATGACGTCGTCGTAATTCTTAAGTCGACGGTTCGATCGGAGATCACAAAGCGCTCCTCGCAATTGCTTCAGCATTCAACCTTTGCTGATTGTAATACGCCCGGTCATTTTGGCCATCAGCAGCGACAAGCTCTGCGCCGAGCGATTCCACTTCCCGCTCTTGAACTTCCGAAATTCGCTGGAGGTTTACGAATTGGGCAGATTTTTACTCTATGTTTACTACCATCAAAGATAGTCATCCTGACCTGACTAACATAGAAAAGATGCAGCATCTACGTTCATGCCTGAGGGATTCTGCGTTGGAAACCATCCGCTCGCTGGAAATTTCGGATGGCAATTATTCTGTTGCTTTGGAGTTATTGCAAAACAGATTTGATAAACGTCGTTTGGTTTTTCAGGCACACATTATTGAGATCCTGGGGCTTAAGGCAGTGCAGAGTGGTTCCGTCTCGATGCTTCGTGAGCTGTCCGACAAATTTAACGCTCATATTCGTGCTTTAAAGGGATTGGGCACGACAGAACAAATCGCGGGTTGCATCATCGTCCAAGTACTGCTTCAAAAGCTAGATCCTGCAAGCCAGGCAAAATGGGAGGAGCGGTTAGAGGATCCAGCAGTCGTCAATATAATTCCGACGTGGGAATCCATGGCATCATTTTTGGAGCAGCGATGCAGAACATTGGAGACTATGGATTTCGCCATGGCAAGCTATGCGTCTGGCAATCAGGTGGGAAATAACCGAACGTCTAATTCTCGCAGATCCGCTTTTGTTGCCACAAATAGTAACCCTTGGTTTTGTTCGTTCTGTAATGCTTCT